AGTGTTAACAGTAAAGAGTTTCTATTTCACCTGCGTATAGGCAAGTGTTAACAGTAAAGAGTTTCTAAAGAGTTTCTTTTCTTTAGGCACCTGCGTATAGGCAAGTGTTAACAGTAAAGAGTTTCTATTCTTCACCTGCGTATAGGCAAGTGTTAACAGTAAAGAGTTTCTATTCTTCACCTGCGTATAGGCAAGTGTTAACAGTAAAGAGTTTCTATTCTTCACCTGCGTATAGGCAAGTGTTAACAGTAAAGAGTTTCTATTCCTCACCTGCGTATAGGCAAGTGTTAACAGTAAAGAGTTTCTATTCTTCACCTGCGTGTAGGCAAGTGTTAACAGTAAAGATTTTCTTCCTTTCACCTGCGTATAGGCAAGTGTTAACAGTAAAGAGTTTCTATCTCTTCACCTGCGTATAGGCAAGTGTTAACAGTAAAGAGTTTCTATTCTTCACCTGCGTATAGGCAAGTGTTAACAGTAAAGAGTTTCTCCCTTTCACCTGCGTATAGGCAAGTGTTAACAGTAAAGAGTTTCTATTCTTCACCTGCGTATAGGCAAGTGTTAACAGTAAAGAGTTTCTCGTATAGGCAAGTGTTAACAGTTTTCACCTGCGTATAGGCAAGTGTTAACAGTAAAGAGTTTCTATTCTTCACCTGCGTATAGGCAAGTGTTAACAGTAAAGAGTTTCTATTCTTCACCTGCGTATAGGCAAGTGTTAACAGTAAAGAGTTTCTATTCTTCACCTGCGTATAGGCAAGTGTTAACAGTAAAGAGTTTCTATTCTTCACCTGCGTATAGGCAAGTGTTAACAGTAAAGAGTTTCTCCCTTTCACCTGCGTATAGGCAAGTGTTAACAGTAAAGAGTTTCTATTCCTCACCTGCGTATAGGCAAGTGTTAACAGTAAAGAGTTTCTATTCTTCACTTGCGTGTAGGCAAGTGTTAACAGTAAAGATTTTCTTCCTTTCACCTGCGTATAGGCAAGTGTTAACAGTAAAGAGTTTCTATTCTTCACCTGCGTATAGGCAAGTGTTAACAGTAAAGAGTTTCTATTCTTCACCTGCGTATAGGCAAGTGTTAACAGTAAAGAGTTTCTATTCTTTACCTGCGTGTAGGCAAGTGTTAACAGTAAAGAGTTTCTCTTCCTCACCTGCGTATAGGCAAGTGTTAACAGTAAAGAGTTTCTTCCTCTTACCTGCGTATAGGCAAGTGTTAACAGTAAAGAGTTTCTATTCTTCACCTGCGTATAGGCAAGTGTTAACAGTAAAGAGTTTCTATTCTTCACCTGCGTATAGGCAAGTGTTAACAGTAAAGAGTTTCTATTCTTCACCTGCGTATAGGCAAGTGTTAACAGTAAAGAGTTTCTATTCCTCACCTGCGTATAGGCAAGTGTTAACAGTAAAGAGTTTCTATTCTTCACCTGCGTATAGGCAAGTGTTAACAGTAAAGAGTTTCTATTCTTCACCTGCGTATAGGCAAGTGTTAACAGTAAAGAGTTTCTCCCTTCACCTGCGTATAGGCAAGTGTTAACAGTAAAGAGTTTCTATTCTTCACCTGCGTATAGGCAAGTGTTAACAGTAAAGATTTTCTTCTCTTCACCTGCGTATAGGCAAGTGTTAACAGTAAAGAGTTTCTATTCTTCACCTGCGTATAGGCAAGTGTTAACAGTAAAGAGTTTCTCCCTTTCACCTGCGTATAGGCAAGTGTTAACAGTAAAGAGTTTCTATTCTTCACCTGCGTATAGGCAAGTGTTAACAGTAAAGAGTTTCTATTCTTCACCTGCGTATAGGCAAGTGTTAACAGTAAAGAGTTTCTCCCTTTCACCTGCGTATAGGCAAGTGTTAACAGTAAAGAGTTTCTATTCTTCACCTGCGTATAGGCAAGTGTTAACAGTAAAGAGTTTCTCCCTTTCACCTGCGTATAGGCAAGTGTTAACAGTAAAGAGTTTCTATTCTTCACTTGCGTATAGGCAAGTGTTAACAGTAAAGAGTTTCTCCCTTTCACCTGCGTATAGGCAAGTGTTAACAGTAAAGAGTTTCTCCCTTTCACCTGCGTATAGGCAAGTGTTAACAGTAAAGAGTTTCTATTCTTCACCTGCGTATAGGCAAGTGTTAACAGTAAAGAGTTTCTATTCTTCACCTGCGTATAGGCAAGTGTTAACAGTAAAGAGTTTCTATTCTTCACCTGCGTATAGGCAAGTGTTAACAGTAAAGAGTTTCTATTCTTCACCTGCGTATAGGCAAGTGTTAACAGTAAAGAGTTTCTATTCTTCACCTGCGTATAGGCAAGTGTTAACAGTAAAGAGTTTCTATTCTTCACCTGCGTATAGGCAAGTGTTAACAGTAAAGAGTTTCTATTCTTCACCTGCGTATAGGCAAGTGTTAACAGTAAAGAGTTTCTATTCTTCACCTGCGTATAGGCAAGTGTTAACAGTAAAGAGTTTCTCCCTTTCACCTGCGTATAGGCAAGTTTAACAGTAAAGAGTTTCTCTTTCACCTGCGTATAGGCAAGTGTTAACAGTAAAGAGTTTCTATTCTTCACCTGCGTATAGGCAAGTGTTAACAGTAAAGAGTTTCTAGATTTCACCTGCGTATAGGCAAGTGTTAACAGTAAAGAGTTTCTATTCTTCACCTGCGTATAGGCAAGTGTTAACAGTAAAGAGTTTCTATTCTTCACCTGCGTATAGGCAAGTGTTAACAGTAAAGAGTTTCTCCCTTTCACCTGCGTATAGGCAAGTGTTAACAGTAAAGAGTTTCTATTCTTCACCTGCGTATAGGCAAGTGTTAACAGTAAAGAGTTTCTCCCTTTCACCTGCGTATAGGCAAGTGTTAACAGTAAAGAGTTTCTATTCTTTCACCTGCGTATAGGCAAGTGTTAACAGTAAAGAGTTTCTATTCTTCACCTGCGTATAGGCAAGTGTTAACAGTAAAGAGTTTCTCCCTTTCACCTGCGTATAGGCAAGTGTTAACAGTAAAGAGTTTCTATTCTTCACCTGCGTATAGGCAAGTGTTTACAGTAAAGAGTTTCTTCCTCTTACCTGCGTATAGGCAAGTGTTAACAGTAAAGAGTTTCTATTCTTCACCTGCGTATAGGCAAGTGTTAACAGTAAAGAGTTTCTCCCTTTCACCTGCGTATAGGCAAGTGTTAACAGTAAAGAGTTTCTACCTGCGTATAGGCTTCACCTGCGTATAGGCAAGTGTTAACAGTAAAGAGTTTCTCCCTTTCACCTGCGTATAGGCAAGTGTTAACAGTAAAGATTTTCTCCCTTTCACCTGCGTATAGGCAAGTGTTAACAGTAAAAAGTTTTTCCCTTTCACCTGCGTAGAGGCAAGTGTTAACAGTAAAGAGTTTTTCCCTTTCACCTGCGTATAGGCAAGTGTTAACAGTAAAGAGTTTCTCCCTTTCACCTGCGTATAGGCAAGTGTTAACAGTAAAGAGTTTCTATTCTTCACCTGCGTATAGGCAAGTGTTAACAGTAAAGAGTTTCTATTCTTCACCTGCGTATAGGCAAGTGTTAACAGTAAAGAGTTTCTATTCTTCACCTGCGTATAGGCAAGTGTTAACAGTAAAGAGTTTCTATTCTTCACCTGCGTATAGGCAAGTGTTAACAGTAAAGAGTTTCTATTCTTCACCTGCGTATAGGCAAGTGTTAACAGTAAAGAGTTTCTCCCTTTCACCTGCGTATAGGCAAGTGTTAACAGTAAAGATTTTCTCCCTTTCACCTGCGTATAGGCAAGTGTTAACAGTAAAGAGTTTCTCCCTTTCACCTGCGTATAGGCAAGTGTTAACAGTAAAGAGTTTCTCCCTTTCACCTGCGTATAGGCAAGTGTTAACAGTAAAGAGTTTCTATTCTTTACCTGCGTATAGGCAAGTGTTAACAGTAAAGATTTTCTATTCTTCACCTGCGTATAGGCAAGTGTTAACAGTAAAGATTTTTTCCATCTTCACCTGCGTATAGGCAAGTGTTAACAGTAAAGATTTTTTCCATCTTCACCTGCGTATATAGGCAAGTGTTAACAGTAAAGATTTTCTTCTCTTCACCTTAGTCGCCCGGGAGCTATTATCTTATACCTAATTTTAATGGCTATTTCTGTACAGCCATTCTTTAAAATGCTTATTTACACACATTTCAATGATTCATCAAACTTCCTATTGTGAATTGATGTCTTTTCTTTGTCTTTTTTTATGCGTTTTCAGAAATGCCACTTTTACACGATATTACTAAGATAACCAGAGACGTATATGTGTTATATATGGCTCTGATATAACCTAGACCAGCATCACATGCTGTGTACAAAAGGAAATATATAATCTGCTTCAAATATTGTTTACTCGCCCTAGACAACGTGGATAGTGTGATAATGTTTTAATCTAAATATCTTAACGACGGATTACCTTCATTGAATTGATATCTATTTGCTTTTATATGAAAGAAATTATTTTAGCGCGTATATACGATTAATTTGATAATATCACGTATCTGAAAAGGTAATTCATCATTGTCACCAATTTCAAATTTCATCAAAATCTGAAAATCAAGTGATTTTATGGTCTTCAAGTGATACATGGTTCAATGAACAACGCCACCTCATGGAATTCGGCTCCACATATCATACATTTCTGTTTTGGTTGTGCATGGCTGATAATTTCGCTGAGTCACAATTTACTGCTTTCTGCATCTTCCCCAGACGAATCTGTTCATACGGAAATCATTCGAAGGGCTTGCAACCAATCTTACACATTGAAGCAACTTGTTTATAACCCAGCAGTGAACATGCAAAGCGCTTACACGTTTGTCAGATCAAAGAAGTAATAATACTAAGGATCGTTTTCGATACCACTGTTATTTGTTATGTAACTGGCAAGACTCGAGGACATTTGTCCTTTAAGGGCAGGAAAGAATGTACTAACACTTGTCCGTTTAGCGCCGTTTCTTTCCGTAATAACCTTCCGAGGTTGCTTTGTTTGTTAGTTCCGTCTTTTCTTTTTCATGCTTTTGAAATGCGTATTGCAATGTTAATTTTACAGGAATCTATCTAGGTTGGTGAACCACTCTCATGCAGAAATACAAAACTGCTTCAACAAAGACGAAATTATGGACAATATGCACGTGTTTAGTGGATTGTGTTGGGCCAACGGCACCTTCACAGCGTTCCTTGATGAAAGTAAGTATCTGAGACTCATAATTCGCTTTCAATATGATCCAATGTGTCGCGAGCTGTCTGTCTGTTTTTGTTCATCAGGCTGTAGTATTTAAAGGTTTTTACAGTTTTTATATAATGGTATTATATGTTAAATACAAAAAAATAAACAAAAACAAAACAAAAAAACTAAAACCATACAACACTAACTTATGAAAAGTAGGTCACTGCTTCTTAAATGTGATGTAATGTTGACCCAATGGTAGCTAGCAATGCCAATTGTGACTACTTAATGTCTGCTTGATATACTTGTCCTATAATCAACACAAGAAAAAGATAACCCTTGCTTATATATCAAGAATGTACAAAAGCCACATGAGCGAATAACACCTTTCAATACAAATTTAGAATGATATTCAGCATATCCAAATGACAATGTAAGCTGCATTGAACAGCTGTTGCATCCCTCTGGGACTCTGGGAGGTGTACTTACAACTAGCTCAAATCTAATTCTTAATATTGAATTATTTTAAGACAACGTCTATGGGTATAAAGTGAATCAGGATCAATGTTTAGTACAAATTCATGCAAAATTAGTTTGGCTTTATAAAACTCATAATCCAAGAATGCCATTTGATGGTTGTACAATGTTTCAGAATAATTTTAGGCTTGACAATGATGCGAAATGTAGTTGTAAGAAGATAAGATAATTACCACGTGCATAAACTAGTCAAATAGTTGATTTTAGACTACAAGATATCTGCAAATATTCGTTACACTGAGGGAAACATTAGTACTATTATCTGTTCCCATATATTTATCAAACCTTTTCACATAGTGCTTGCAGGTTTCGCTACAGTTAACTTCTTCTGGGAGAGTGAATGCTCCTACCAGATAGAGCCTTTCATTCATGCCTGCCAATTAGAGACTATAAATCCGCTGAAGGATATGGAGGATGGTCCAAATGAGTACAAAAGGTATGCTATTGTATATATGACAAAAACAATGTGTTGAATCTCTTTTTACTTGAATTGACCAGACACTTGCATATGATTTTTTAAACAAGATTTCCAGATTACCTGCTTTTGAATGAAATAGTTATAATACAATGAAAGTGAATGCATTTACAATGATACGTACAATTATTTCATGTTTCTTTCATGCCTACCACATCAAATCAAGTGCCTACTTAAAGATCTAAAAATGCAAAGAGACCGCCATTTTGTTTTTATACCGTGGCGTACATTAAAAACGAAGATATACATATTTCATTGACCAATCCTGCGGTTTTCAAGGATTTTTCCATAGTTTCGTTTTACAAGTACTTTTAGGATTTTTTGTCCATTGTCAACATAATAAATTCAGATCTTCCACACTCTTCGGCCGAGTGCTTTTTTTTATGGAAAGCAATATAAATCCTATCCCTGAAATGAACGCGTTTTAGAAATACATTTTGTCAAGGCAGTACATGAGGTAAAAATGTTGTTCTTTCCAACGTTAGTTCCACTTGAAAACTTCGAAAAAATATTTTTTTCTGATATTAAGGTAATTAAATGGTAAAATGTAAGTTAATTCCTGAAATAGGTCAAGAAACCCAATTTTGTTATTACTTCGTGATTCATGGGGGAAAATTCTATCCTGAAATCAACTACTAAAACTATTACTCGTGTATATTTTACAACTGTTACCATTTTGGCCTTCTCTTCATATATTTTTTTAATAAGATAATCATAACATGACATCAGATCAAAGGCGGACAAAGCTGTCTTGCATAATGACTCTTTTTTAAAAGGTTTCATGAAAACAAAATGAATAGGAAATATAAAATGCGCATTTTTGCTTTTAAACATTATCATGATTAACATGATTATGATCATTATTTCTATATATAGAAAGGTACTTTAAAACTGAAGATGATTTATTTTACTTTTCCTCGTGGGTAGAATTAATGTTCGCTAATCCACAGAACGTTTTTACCAATCACATTCCAATGTCGAAATATAAATGTTAATACATTTCTCCATCAACAGTTAAATAATTGCATCAGAAAGCAATCTTTTTATCAAAATCATGTTTATCATTTCAGGATCATTATAGAGAGACAGATGTGCATTTCTGACGGTTTTGATGATGGTGACGTGAGTTCCTGCGGTAACGTAGACAGTCTCAAGAGACTTGCCCACATCATGGAACTTTTCTTCACTGTTGGACCTGGTGTGACATTCCAACTGTCAGATTTTGAACTGCAATAGTTACGAACCCGTGCTTTGAGATACCGTTTGCCTATACAGGTATCATGACAGTGAGTTATAGGAGATACTGCTGTCTAAGTAACGTTATATTCATTGAATAATATTCAAAATAACCTGTGTTGCGTTCATCATGAAATAAACTCCAAGACCGTCAATATTCGTTTTGTTCGTAATTTCGTTTTTATCGCAATTTTCTTTAGCAAAAGCACACAAAACGTACTGATATTATGTGTTTTCAAAGTGTGCATTTAAAGTGGTTTCAGAATAACCACATGAATAATTGTCTTCAATATATTTTTTTCTGAAGGAACGATAAAACCAAAATAGCTTGTAACTGATCATTAAGAAATGCTTTCAGAGACTTTTTTTACCGAGCATCTTCCGATTTCTGTCATTCTTATAGGATTTGGAAAAATTCGACGAATTAGAGACAATGTATCGTGTGACAGTGTGACATCCAAACACATAACTAGCACTTCTCGTCTCAATGTTTGAACAATTGTACCAAATCCGTATGTACGTTTTGTTTAGTTTACATCTCAACATTTTAGAATATATATGTATATTTTGTTTTTATGGAAAATTAGGAAAATAAACATATTTACAAACTCTTAATTTATTTATCTTCTTTTCAGGTAAAAGAGTTGTTCCTTTCTAAAAAAAAAAAAAAAAAACTCCGTTAATCATAAAAGTCTTTAAAATACGAAAATGTCGAGGTTTCTTACAAAAAGAAAACTAGGAACATATTATTTGGTTCTAGTTGACCCTTATCCTCTTAGTGTAGGTCTCCCGAATCAAAGTTTGAGAAATATTAATCGGTATGTTAGGAGAAGGGGCAGAGATTAACATTGCAAGAAAATGAAACAGACGATAAACAAAACAGAACACGGTTTAATACGAAGTGATCGAAATCGAAACCAGGATGGCATTTCAGAAATCAGGTTTAGTAGAGCTTGCCAAAAAACTAGCTAAATGTGACGTTATCAGGAGACTCCAGCCGTAACCCATGGTTTCCGATACATTTGGTAACATCAAAACATCAGATCTACATGGACAGGATAATGGTCACTTACAGCTTTCGTCTGTCAAAACAACATATCTTTGTTAAGTTCGCTATCACTATTGATTTTCATGTAACTACAATTTATACGTTTAATCATTGTCGTTTTGCCAACATCATCGAACATGTCGTATAAGTCTGTTTTAATCATATTTCAGACGTATTGGCTAGTAATACAGGACCTGAAGTATAGGATATAAATCATGTGCGCTTGGCGTTATGAACCTTACATATTTTAAGTATATAAATAGAGATTGTACAACAAGACATTGTTGTTTATAGTATTTCGTTCACCCGATATTGTTTCAAAAGTATGAGTTAATACCATATGTCAGTTATACTGTTTTGTTTCACCACAGTTGTAACGATATTGATAACATGAGAAATAAACAATACTCCCCTATTTTCCTTAATTGAAAGCTAATACTTGTTTATTTGTGTAAGTAACTGTATGCTGATTTTCAGGATATACTTATTTTCTAGTTTTGCAAGTATCATCATATACATACATACATACATACATACAAAGCGAGTTACCTGATTATTGGTCAGTCCATATCGTTGGTCAAACAGATAGGGTCCAGCAGTCCAGGGCAGAACCGCGTAGGTCAACCGTCGGCCAGTGTACAGAAGTCTATAATCGAAAAAGACATTTAATTACACTGCATATCAACAACTGATGGTATTACGTTTGATGCAAAGAGTTTTCCGCAATAACTGTGATATGTTTGCGTAAATATGAAAGGCAAACTGAGTTTATTTCAAAGGAGGTCCAAAGACACAGATGCTTCATACAGAGTAATATAAACCTGTATGTATTGTAATGATAGGTATTGAGTAATATAAATCTGTATGTATTGTAATGATAGGTATTGAGTAATATATACCTTTCTGCATTGCAATGATGTATACTGAGTAATATATACCTGTATGTATTGTAATAATAGGTATCATAAACAATGTAACAGACTTACAACACCTTCACCTATTACAGAAGCCTATAATGTTATGTGATACAATACCTGTCGTAAGCACAATTTGTCTTAGATGTTGTCGTATCAGCGTCGTTGTTTATTAACCATCGGAAGCGGCCGGTCATGTAGATAGGTAATTCCCGCAGTTGCGCAATACTCGCGTAGGAACAATCAGCATTCATGTCTCCAATAACCATAACATTCTTTAAAGATATGAAATACCAATTCAAAGGACATAACACAGAAAACTTCATGAAAACCAAAAACGGGTAATGAGTTTATGTTGAGAAAAGTGTCAATGTAGGGTGTTGCTTAAGATCTGTTGTACTTCAAACATTACTGGTAAAGCTGCTACTTCTCAAATGCAAGCATTCCTTTGATTTAATTAATTTTGTAACTTTATTAGGTTAGTATGTCACTTTTGCCACATTTTAATTCATAGTGACAAGGTTCAGGATATTATGCATCTATGAAGGTTTGTTGAAACTGAGGAGGCGAAATCCTTGGCATCCTTGGCGGGGATACAACTATTTTACAAATAATGAGCTAACGTTAGTGTTGACCGTGTCTTCTCATATTATACATACAGATACGTTCCATCTTTTCAGTAAATCCTCATACACGTTATAAAGATGTTTTATCTCTGTCACGGCGTTCATGGGTTTTGTGTGGATGCCAATAACAGCGAACACTGCCCCTAAACAATACATCAGGATATCAAAATACATTTTGTTTCTGAAAAAAAATATATTACGGTTTTGTCTCCAAACAAGTCGCAATATACCCGTACAACAAATCGATCAGAAAAAGCAATATTTCATTTCAGATCAGTTTACTTGTGTACCGTACTTACCTGGGTCTGTGTTGTTCGGCTTTACAAGCACACTGAACGGATCCCTCTCAAACTCATTGTTACTATCGCGGTATATGTAGGATTTAAGCACGGTCAGTTTATCTGGTCTTGGAAAATATATAAAAAAAATAATAGGCAACACGTAAAATATATCTGCCATGTAAGGTTATATTGTAAAACTATGAAGATAATCAGCTAAACAAATTAACGTTGTTGTTTTTAATGCTTTTGATATTCTGCTTATTTTATTTTGTTCATTTTTTCTTTCCTTTGTTTTTCATGATTGCTGCCAATCAATGTTCCAAATTCACCAACTTGATCCTGGTTTAGAACCTCCTCCGTTTAAGGATTTTCAAGGTTCCTAACTTTAAAACTTTTAAAGTGGATTTTCACACTTGTTCCTTACATTAGCGAGAAACAGCAAGTTGTTACATAATGCTGTTTTATTTACTGTACTTATCATGGAAGTGACAGCGTTATATATATATATACGTCTCAGTCACTATGTCTTGTGTTCGTAGAGAAAAAAATGATAAGTGTAAGATATTTTACTGGGCGTCATTTATTCTAAACAAAAAAAGCTTTGCCAGAACACACCATAATGCACTAGCAATTCCTGACAAAAATGGTCAATGATGATACATACTAAGTAACTATGAACGAATTATCTTCACTGATATTTTCATGAAGGGTTGAGAATATAGCGAAACTTCCTCCTTCAATTGCAGGATGCATTGCAAGGAAGTTTAGAGCATCTTTAAGAAATTCTATATATAGCATTGTAAGGACTGTATAAAAGACGTGCATTAATAAAAAGACATTTGTATTGGTATTAGGGGCATGGCGTGTTATTTTACTGATTAATTACCCGGGTGGTCTAGTCTTACCTGTAAAAGAAGGCGTATTGTTCTTTATATGATGATGTCCCGACACGCCTACTTTTCACCAGTCCATACGGAGCTGTCCTGGTCGGGGAAACATGTGATCTCATTAATGACAAATACTCTTCTTTTTCAACATTTGGTTTTTTGTTTTTATTCTTTGTTGTGTTTTTTCCCCAACATTAATCTATCATTTTTTATTTGAAATACCAGCTATAATATAATATAACCAGTGAAATAGTAACTTAATTCCTATGTGATAATCATTATGAATTATCATATAACGTGGGATACGAACCTTTTTCCTCAAGTGGTTATTCTTTGTTTAGATATTCTCGCCATGAATATTCTTAAAATTTAATACGGCGCTTAATTATCCTAGTTGCTGATCTATAGGAGGTGAACCAAAACCAAACCGAGCTTTTTACTTACATATTGATCAGATTGTGCAATTTGCGGAGAGCCTTGCCTCGACGGTCCCGAATTTCCTGGATAAGGATGATGTCATACTCTAGAACAATCTGGTACAAATGAAAAAGGTTAAATAGCCCCTAGAAAACGTTCTCCAGTGGATTTTCGAGTGTTAAAGAGGGTAAGTACAATGGTATCGGCAATATTGTATAATCTAACAATGGACGTTTACTTTTAAATACGAATAAATTCAAGATCTCAAAATTTATCTCATCATCGGCATCTGCAGCAAATTCATACATGTAATATTTTTTGCATATATGTCACTATTGTAACATATCCTGGGATGATTTTTAATTGGTTGCGCCAATTAGAACTCGATTGTCATAACACTACGTCATAATTTTAAAATGTCATAAAATGAAAACTGCTAAGACCGTTTCATAAAATCAATACAGAATGTACATATCAGCCAAAACGAAGAGGAATATCTATAGGAAACTACAGTGAACAATAAGGAATTTACTATATTTTATACAATTCCTTCCTTCAATTCTTCTTGCCATACAAAATATCTTGTAGGTGATTAACTCGAAGTTTCAAGTGACTTGGTCTCATTGTCATATATGAAAAAGAAAATATAACTCCATTGTAAGATTTTACCTGACGAGATGCCCTTCTGCATCTTTATCAGTTTCTGTAGGTATTTTTAAATTGATAAACAACACTTTGTTTTCATTCCACATAGCTGACGTAAGCCATAGCTGAGCGATTACAGATGACAACTGGTTCGTGTCGTTATATCATTAATATACATACTGCAAGTGATTTGTCATTTACTGAATACTTTAATATTTGTTACGTTTCCGACACAATAAACTATCAACGATTTTATAAATTGTAAATACCTGTTTTATAATGTTGGCAACTTCCGGCTTCTTCATCTTGGATCTGCCGAACGACTTGATGTTAAATGCAGCGACCCGGATATGTTGTCCATGCCACGGACCAGTCAATCTCCATCTCCAGTAGTGAATATCCCTAGTCCAGTCAGTTAATCCGTCCCCGTTCCCTGGGAAGCCCAGCAGCAAAGCCCACATTAACCCGATGAGAGGTACAGGGACCTTGCATATTAGTGATGTCATAATTATATCTCAGATTTCGCTCAAATACTCTCAAACCATGGGACGCCTTCAAGTGTATAACAATTCTGAATGATTTATTATGGAAATCCCCTAACTTGTATATTACCTGTGTGGCTGGTTAGTACGTCGTACGTACTGTGCGTATACCATCAAACTCGTTGATACTGACAAAGGTCAGATAATATTAACTACAGGTTAATTACCTTCTCACGTGATAACATAATTCAGTCTCGTGACATGATGAACGCCTCATTTTCATAAATATATATTACTGACATATCAAATCAGTACGTTATGCTGTGTCATAGATTTAAAACCTGTGATGTCTCTTGGTATGGTATAATTGCCATGCAAATTGTTATGAAATCAATACACTTTTGGGTTTCTTTTCTTTAAGACTGGACCCATATATATAGGTCTCTCATTAGTGAAATAGTTGAAATAAACAACTGAACGGTTTATTCATCAATCTTTTTAGGCATTCATTATAATATTCTAACAAGCCCACAGAAAGACATGCCCCCTCCCACTTCCTGAAAACAATATTCAATTTGATGCAAATTTGATCTTTACAAAGATTTGTAATAAGTATGCAGCAGAAATAAAAATAAAGATTGATGTATAAACTGGGATGTACAATTTGAACTCAATTCAATAACGTCATATCAACATTGATTTTGCGTTAAACATTAATTCAATAATTTGTTTCCATTTATGTAAAATTGTATCCTCCATACATTTCTTTGACCTTTAACTGTAGATTTATTTTTCAATTTCCACAAGGAATGCTGATACATTTTAGTCATAATGATCTTTTAGTCATAGTGATCTTGGCGCTAACCATAACCTTTCTTCATTCGGAATGATGAAATATTCATGCTGAATAGGACCATTGTATCACCTTTCTATTTCTATTTGAATGCTGAGTTCTTTCACCGGGTCGTTATAATTACAATGAGCACAGACCGTTGCCTATACAAATGAGTCTATCCTTCCAAATTCTCGAAACATTTTTTATGTGTTAGGTTGTCATCTGTCGACATCTTTGAGGGATTCAATGCCATTAACAACAAACCTTTAAAAATTAGTCAACTGCAACATGTAAAGGACCGTTAATAACTTTGTGTTTAATTGGTTTTGTCTAATGCTTTGTGCTAATGACATTGCAATCCTATATGTAGATGGGATAAGTCTATTTTAGTGACGTAAATAATTTATATGATTGTTGGGTATTTCTGTAAAATCGATGTCGATTGGGTTGAAGATTGTGTACTGTGTAGTTGAAGAGCGAGATAATAGGAATACTATCTTTATCGTAAAGAAATTTCATTACGATAACGTGATTACAGAAAGTAAAATATATGTTTTGAAATTCAAAAAAGATTAAAAAAGAAGTATGTAGATCACACGCTGACATATTCATATTATAGGATTTACTGACTGTAAATCATTTTTGATATCTGACATAAGTATCCAAATTATGCTACGGCTAGCATATTACAGCAATGTTGTTTCAATCGAAAACGATTTATTCATTTGTTTGCAAAGGCAACACAGCCATCTTGTTATGTCTGTCATAGTCTTAGAAAGAACATGGAAACAGATTTTCATAAACAGTGTTGGTTTAAAGTCGATTGACAATATTCGCTTTTTTTTATAAAATGGCAGAATTAATCAAACCGAAAATAAATTCATGTTTTGTAATTCTGGCTAGACAAGCGCACAATTGTTTGTTGTCCGTTACCATGCAATGGATATGGATGCCTGTTATGTTGTAATGTGTATCAGCTACCTGATGTGGCATATCACCCCAAATCAATAATTTTTCAAATCGACTGTTGTCGTCATATCTCATGATTAACTCAAATTAAAGATGGACGCGTAATTGAAATTACTTTACATATATATTCTTAATGTAATGACCACAAGGAGACGGTAAAGCATGCATGCAATCGTATTTTATTAATATCGAAAGGATAAAAAAGCAGGTGACATTTTTGAAAATGAGGAAATATACCGTATGATCATTTACAGGCTACAATATACATAAAGTGATCTGATACATTATAACAACTGAAAGATTTGGTTCAAAGTACAATTTGCTAATCAAATTATAATTTCTTGCAGAATATACTCAACAGAATATAACAAACTTTAGATAATAGAAAAAAACATGTCCATATAATCTTAATCTGAACTAAAATTCTATGAATCTAAGACAACATATGAGCAAAAGAAAGACCTACACGGCGATCGATTAAAATGTGCAGAGCCAGGAGAATGAGACCAGGTGTTCCGGAAGGTCAATACCAATAAGTAAAGGCATGAGTCAAAATACGATGATTACTATATCGCATTAAATCAAATTATATGATATAACATTTCTCAGATTTACTCATAAATTTACTCAGATGACTATAAAAGTTACCTCCTAAACTTCATCAACTACTGTATATACTGTAAACCTCCGTACTGCTTTTATCTATCAGTTGTCGACATATTTCACAAAAAGCATAGTATTGGAAACATGCCCTTGAATATCATATTAACACCATGGATTGGGGAAGGACTATTTCTACCTCCAAATAAAAAAATTTACGATGTGGAACTTGAAACCATACTTATAACAGTCATGACTTTTAACGCTTTTTACCCGCCGACTTTTTCAGAATTTCTATTCGGATTAAATGGAACACTGTATGTCAAGCCATGGGCCACTCTTGTGTCTAAGATTAGACCATGTCCCGTCGACCTGGCAGATGCGATCTTTGCAGTAAAGAACATTCTCTCTGTAGACAGCAAGTGACCCAACGGTATATCCATTTACCATCACCAACCTTACAATTTTTCCTTTAAATATTTCATCCATGTTAGCTTCTGGTTCCGGGCATGCTGTAAAATACAATTGTATAAGGAGTGTTGCATGAAAGTTGTGTTTTTAACATTAATTAAATGTCAAGGAAATTGTGCTATTTGTATTTGTTGAAGTTCGTTTTTATCAAACGACATCTGTATCAAATAGATATTAAAATAAGATACTTTAAGTTCAGAAAACGCTGCCTTTTATCTGCTGTTCTCCTCAATACAACATAGAATTTAAAAACTGTAATCTGCTAATGTATGTCTGTTCTTAGGGCGAGCTGAAAAACTGGTATTCCCATTGAAGGCTCTACATGGTTACAACTAAGAAACACTGAAGCGTGAAAGGATAAATGCCTATATTTTATCATGATAGTTAATCCTTATTAGTAACAGGGTATATATCCACGGATATCAATCATTTATATGTACAACTGAAGTAATTTCTCACAGCTGAAAATACATTATAGGTATTTATAAATGGATGAAGGTATGTAAACATAAGACAAGATGACAAATCGTTACGCATTGCCGGATGAATCTTAGTACTTCTATGTAAACATTATATTCTTCATCTTTCACACTTCAATGATGATGGACGTATCGCCTGATGTACTTACTTATCTGTTCACAGGTTTTCGGAATTATAGCCCACTCTTCGTTTTCCTGGCATTGTACTGAAGATGGACCAATCAGCCTGTAACCGTACTGACATTCAAGCGTGATGGTACAGGTTGAATACGAGAGGAGATCTGCATTGTCTATTTTTGGAATCGTTAAAGCACAACCTGATTAACAAAAGAAATAGTTTTACATGTATGCTAATATATTGTGTCCAAATGACTTTAGGCTACATGATTACTGTGTGATCCTATGTTACTCCTACGAAAATCACGAAATGCATGTGTTAAATCAGCTGCTATTTTATTCCTTTGTGTCAATGACTGAATAAATAGAGATAGAAATAAACAACCTATTTGTGAATAACTTCAGTACGTCACATTTCCTTATTGCGTTTACTGACATGTCTTAATCGCTCGTACGAAGTATCAAATGTTACATGTCTTAATCGCTCAGACGAAGTATCAAATGTTACATGGTAAATCGCTCGTACGAAGTATCAAATGTTACATGGTAAATCGCTCGTACGAAGTATCAAATGTTACACGGTAAATCGCTCGTACGAAGTATCAAATGTTACACGGTAAATCGCTCGTACGAAGTATCAAATGTTACACGGTAAATCGCTCAGACGAAGTATCAAATGTTACATGGTAAATCGCTCGTACGAAGTATCAAATGTTACGTGGTAAATCGCTCGTACGAAGTATCAAATGTTACACGGTAAATCGCTCGTACGAAGTATCAAATGTTACACGGTTAATCGCTCGTACGAAGTATCAAATGTTACACGGTTAATCGCTCGTACGAAGTATCAAATGTTACATGTCTTAATCGCTCGTACGAAGTATCAAATGTTACATGTCTTAATCGCTCGTACGAAGTATCAAATGTTACATGTCTTAATCGCTCAGACGAAGTATCAAATGTTACATGGTAAATCGCTCGTACGAAGTATCAAATGTTACACGGTAAATCGCTCGTACGAAGTATCAAATGTTACACGGTAAATCGCTCGTACGAAGTATCAAATGTTACACGGTAAATCGCTCAGACGAAGTATCAAATGTTACAGGGTAAATCGCTCGTACGAAGTATCAAATGTTACGTGGTAAATCGCTCGTACGAAGTATCAAATGTTACACGGTAAATCGCTCGTACGAAGTATCAAATGTTACACGGTTAATCGCTCGTACGAAGTATCAAATGTTACACGGTTAATCGCTCGTACGAAGTATCAAATGTTACATGTCTTAATCGCTCGTACGAAGTATCAAATGTTACATGGTAAATCGCTCGTACGAAGCATCAAATGTTACATGGTAAATCGCTCGTACGAAGCATCAAATGTTACGTGGTAAATCGCTCGTACGAAGCATCAAATGTTACGTGGTAAATCGCTCGTACGAAGCATCAAATGTTACGTGGTAAATCGCTCGTACGAAGCATCAAATGTTACATGGTAAATCGCTCGTACGAAGCATCAAATGTTACATGGTAAATCGCTCGTACGAAGCATC